AGATTTAATCACAGTGTTTTAATCTATAAATAATGACTGCGGACCTGCATTATAGGTAAGATCTTATTTTGATAAATGTCACTGTTACACAGTAGTGTTAACTGATAGCCTGACTGATGATGACAAACGATTTCTCATAATCATATGAACAATAGTTTGTGTTTGGAGCGTCATCAGTTAATATTACTGTGTAACAGTGACATTTATCAAAATAAAATCTTATCTATAATGGAGTCATACTCTACAACAGTGCCCAATTTCTATATCAATAAGACTACGGACCTGACCTATTCTCTGTTTTCCTTCCCACCAGGTCGGAACAGCCTAGAGGACATAGCAGAAGAGTTCAAAAGCCAAGAAGAAATCATATTGCTGTTGCGTACTGCTTCCTACACCTTGTCATAAACTCCTGGAACCGACTCCCAGAAGAATTGGTGTCCATGACCTCAACTAATTTATTCAAGAAGGGTTTAGACAATCACAGAAATTTACCAGAAAAGGATTAACATAGGCTCCATGCATTCTATCCTCGAAAACGATAAATCTGAAATCTGATACAGATCATTGATACACTTTTCACCTAGAAAAAGAAAAATCGTATTGACTATGCTCAAGGTCGTCCGAAGTTGATGTCTATTCTTTACTGTTGCCGTGGGTCCAATGCTTGTCATATCTGTGAAATTTGTGCATATTGATTAATTTGCACCCTTAACCTGAAAAATATAATGTATACTTGATTTTATTAATGCTATTTCAAAACTTGCCTCAGTAACATGTAATACGTATAAGCAGCAAAGTTTTTGCAAAGTAATATCTACCAATCATATTTAGATAGGTCAAGTAGTCCAGGGTAGGCGAAGATTGAAGTCTATTGAATTTTGTACACACAGTTTAGGCTGTATGTGATTAATCCAAAGTGCTTCCATCACCTTCAATAACCTCGAATTAGAGTTCTGTGAAGTAATTGTGAAACAGTCATTAATATTGATTTTGTGACCTGACATTAATAAGTGTTTTGTAATGGATGATGCTGGATTTCTATTCAGATTACTGGCATTTGGATTTTCTATTTGATTTAGTAGCCATTTTGGAACATGTTCTTTCCGACGACATTGGAACATTCTGTTGCTTCTACCTATATAGGTGTCATCGTAGCTGCAGGTGAACTTGTAGATACAGTTTGAAGTATAGTCTACTTGACTACTTGACCTATCTAAATATGATTGGTCATTAGTATGTACTTTTGTTTTTATTTAACTGAGTAATTGTCATGAACTTTATTTTACTATTGTTAACCATGTTAGTTGTAAAGCGGTTGTGAAGAAACTACGAAATGATATCATCTCGCGAAATTTGTCTTCTAAATGCCTTATTCAAATTTATCAAAGGGACTAATTGTTTTAATAATATGTACCAATCACAGCGTGCATAAGTGACCTTCAAGTGCTCGGCTTCCCCGTAAGACGTTTGTGCCGCTATCCTCAGTGGTGGAGACAACATAAATATATGATGGTGGCATGCTAGTGAGAGAAAGGCTGCGAGTTTGTGGGCTTTCAGAAGTCCGCATAACTAGAATTTGTTTTTTACTTGGTGAATGAATCAGAAGAGTGCCATATATGGCACTATAGTTCTAAAAGCTAAAGGCGTAATACCTCCCAGTGAGAGAATGCACCTGGGTAATGCGGACAAAACGTGGGCTAAATGGGTCATTTTGATGGGCAAAGACGTGGGCAAAAGGGGTTAAAATGCTACATAATTAACCCACTTTACCCACATTGGCCACATTTTCCCCGTTTGCCATGTCCCAAAAAATTTTATTGTCCCAGTTTACTCATTTTTCAACGAACACTACCCATGTTGATTCCGAAAACAGCTCACTTTTTCCAACTTTGCCTAATTTCGTTCGGAAAACTGCCGACGTTTTAACCCAGATATCTCAGGTCCAAAGAAAATTAAATGACAATCTGTTATTAATTTATTTTGACCAGTGTGTAGTATCGAGTATCCCGTATCAAACTAGATTGATTTAACATAATTATTTCATCTTTTACAGATACTTGACGAGTTTGTTATACAATCATTGTCTTAAGGATGGTGGTAAGTGATTGTGATTTTAGATGCATGAATTTCGTCACACTTCCTTCCAATATCCAATATCGTTTTTACGAGCTAGTATAAACTAATTTGATTTCTTTGTGCTCGCCTCTTGATTGTGAGGTATAGGTTCCTGATCTTCGGTAAACTTCTGCGTAACTCGTCCCGCCACTCGACTGTCGTAGCTTTGGTTGACTCCAAAAGGAGTAGTGCTGGGATTAATTATATGTGGTTTGTAGTATGAGGTGTGTTAAGACTGTTACTACTGTGAATGGAGTTGATCCTTTCACCAGTTAGTCCTCCGGTATCGTCGTCAAGAAAAAAGAGATAATAATAATAGATATAATTAGTGAAGTTATTCAGGCTAACAGACAGAAAAAGAATAAGAAAATGTGACAACAGTCAGCTGATTAAATTTGAAGAATAATATGAATAATATATATATATATTTATATACATATATATATCGGTAATAATGATAATAATAATAATAGGTGCAGTTAAAGTTGTCAGGAGAGTAAGGCGAGAGAGAATGTAAACAAGTCAAACGACGAATTTAGTTGTCTACCCCTGAATGGTGTATGCGATTTTAAGTGGATAGGCCACTCGGATGCCAATTAACTTATTAGCGTTAGCTTGATTTGACTCTATTCTGATGGAATTTCAGTTAAACTGATGAATAATGACGTTACCGGGGATACTGACTTTCTCAAAAAGTTTCAGAAGATGCGCAGGGATAAACCGGAATTGTAATTGAGCACTTATACAGTAAATGCATTATATTGTTTATCCAGTGTAGCTAGTTTGGTGGAAATCTGGGGGATAAGTATTCAGATACGTTGTTTATACACTGATGCTATTGACCTGGTGTTCTATGACTCCTCCTCTCGTTAGTTTGTGTATTCAAGTGAGGTCAGAATCAGATTATACGGATGGAGGGCTCTCGTTACCTATGTTAATCCTTGCAATATACATCTCTGCAGAGATCTAATTTCTCTTCCAAAGCGTTGACCGATAGAGCTGTTACTACTGAGTCAAGTTAGGAGTTCCAGTGTGTCGGTGGCACAACAGTTAGGACGCTCGCCGACCATGCACATGGTTCAGGGTTCGATCATCGGTCGACACTCACCCGATATCAATGGTCGGCCTGCGAAATTTGGGCTACGGATATCACATGCTGAAAATTCCATACTTGTACCAAAAATACTGTTTGGAATCAAGCTATAATAAAGAATAAAAAATGCATAAGATAAAATCCTGTAGGGAGAGAAGATATTTGAAACGTCAATCCCTGAATCACCCTTTAGTATACGGTATGCCAAAATTAAGTCGCCTTTCTTCCTTCGGTATGATAATGGGAAGAGATTTCAATGCTCCATCGTCTTATCATAAGGAAGGTGTGAGATACCACTAATTGATTTGGTTCTTATCCTCCGTACTCTTTCCAGGATGTGTGCCTGCTTCCTGAAGCATGGACTCACCGCTTGTATGCAGTATTCTAAATGAGGTCTGACATGTGTTGCATAAAGTACTTGGGACATACACTCGTCCAGTGGTTTTAAAGCCCTTCTGAGTGCTCATAGCATTCGAAAAGCCTTAGCAGCGGCTCCATTACGGTTTGCCGTTGTCTTTATGTCGTGGCTTACAATAATTCCTGAGTCGTTTTGTTCCTTAACATCTGGCAGTTCTTTCCCACAAGGAGTACGACGCGTAAGACCTCTGACCTAGTTGCATTATCGCGCTTTTCTTGGAATTGATTTCCAGACTCCAAAGGTTAGCCCATTCAGCTAACTTATCTAGATTGTTTTGTAGTACCAACCTTTCATCGTTACTGTTTACGGCTTTACATATCTTAATATCGTCCGAAAATAATAAGGAAGATGAGGTAAGAATTTTCGGCAGTTCATCTGCGTATAATAAGAATAGCAGGGGGCCAAGTACAATTCCCTAAGGTACTCCACTCAGTACTGCTTTCGACCCTGACAGTACACCGTCAACATTGAGACTGTTTTGTACCATGAATATAGGCAGACTGTTTTATCAAACAGACAATCTTTACATTACCAGTTGATCGCTATCCGTTAATATTGTCATTCCAGTGGCGACTATGTTTTGTATATCCACCAGTTATCAAGTCTTCAGAAGATTAGCGTTCACTTATATTTTACAACTTTTCTCTTAAACGACAGTAGCACAAGTGCAAATAATCGACAGACGAGGTGGAAATCTTTTGCTGTAACTGGAGAGTTTCTAGTTTACTCAGAAATTCCATATGATGTAATCCTCGAGCCTTCATGTGGTTGTGGACTAATTTAGATTAGTTGGTTCAAAATAGTTTAAGAAAGAAAGCTTAAAGTGTGCAAGTATTGAATCATTGATAACATCTCAAAACCGCCTGAGTATAACGGTCTTAACGAGCTGGCATGAAGTTTAGATAGGTTACTTCAAACCGGTAGTACGATATGTAGAGATTTCCGGATATCTCAAGAGAATCACGTGGTTGTCGCGTTGTGAATCATATATTGTCAGTGTAGTAGGACACTCTTTGTTACCTAAAGTCATCGTGCTGAGTTATAGCTTATGAGGTTAGAATTTCTAAACCGTTATCACCCTTTTGATGCCACCAGGAGTGTTTACTACGCCTGTAACCGAAGATATATATGTTTATTCTGGCCGGCTGGAGTTATGATTGCAGTTTAGCCGGTTGCAGTGTATGACTTATCAATGTACTTCTACTTATTTCATGCTTGTCCACTCGTGTATAGTTTTTCGCATCACAAAAGACAGTTGAAATGAACCTTTTTGAAGGGATTGTTGGAATGGTATTTGTTGTTTTCTTGTTATTATACAATTCCCTTATTTGCGCAACATATATGTGAATTAAATCCGTTTTCACCATTACACAGGACTTGAAAGAAGAGAATCACAAGTTATTATCCAAATTGGACTTGTTAGAAAAAATGGAGAGTGCGTATATTGATGAAATAGAAAGTCTTAATGAACTTATTGCTTGTTTGAAACGTAAAAGTCCAGGAGAATTCCGGAATATTGATGATCGCCAGTCAGAGAAATTAAGCAAGAAAAACCGTCTGGCTGAGAAGCTTAGCGCTGCCGAAAATTTGGAGGCTGACCTGTTAAAACGATTACGTGCTCGTGAAAATAAAGTGGACGAAATTTGTATGGTTAGTTTATTTGTTGTGCTTATTTTTGAACATTTGAATGAGATCTAAAGAGAGACTTCCTCCATTCAGAACAAAAGTGTAGATAGTTGGTGACAGTTTTCTTTCAAACTGATGGGGCATTTATTTCGATTCACTTGAACTGAGAAGCAGGAGAGCGTTTTTACAGTTTAGGATTTGCTGCTTCAGTGTATGCTGTAACTTCAACGTGACAGTTAGGTAAACCGATGTAGGGCATTCCACAAAGGTGTATCTGAGCTGCGTCTCATCACTCATCTTCTCATGTTGTATGCTGAGTCTGTGAAGTGTTACAGTAGTCAATTCAGAGAATTATAAGCGTAGAACTTTGCATAAAATTGTACTAATTCAAGTTGTCACACTTTGTAAAAGCATATAAAGTTTGGGGAAAGGTTATTAAGTGGAATATAATGAGTATTCCTGGAACGTAGATGATCACATAGAGTAGAAAGCTGTCTACCTTTGGGAACTATTTAGAGCAATGTCATTATTTGTGAACAGAGTTATCACATTGAAGTCCGGTTCGTTGGCAGTCTTCTTATAGTTGTCATCGTATCACTTCTCTCTCTTTGTTGTTGTTTCTTATGGATCCTTGTATTGCAGTATCTCCTACCAATAAGTTTGTTCTGCCTTTTAGATCATCACCTTTATTTAGTCTTCTTTTCAGTGGAACTGTAGCCGTTTTATGGGTGCTTTTGTATTCAGACTGTGTAGTATTTTATCGGTTTTATTACCTTTAATGGGTTTAACTAATCCAAATGAGTTGAGTTGTCTTGGTTTCAGTATAGCGACCAGGAATCTTGACGAGATATGCATTGGTGTGTTTGTGAAATCCAAAATCGCTCTGATGGGATAGGTCTCTCTATGTAGTATTGTCACACAGTCTATCCAATGTGTAATACGCGATTTTGGCATAATTTCAAACCATATAGGCTTGCCAATCGTTTCCTCTCATTGTCTAACTACTTTTCCCGCCTCATCGTTTTGTTGGTGATAGTTTTCGATAATTTGGTCACTAAAAAATAGGTTCCAGGTTGTAGATGTTCATTCTTCCCAGTTTTGTGAAGGATTGCTGGTGTATTTCTTTCTTATGTGTAAAGGGTTACTATGCAGTTTGGCTTCGTTATTAAATATGTAGGAGTAGTGTTTGACATCTAATTAGCAAACAATACTGTTTCATTATGGGTTAGTTTATCACGATTATCGCTGTATTAGGTTGTGTAAAATTCAACTCTTGTAAATGCTTGTATTCTTTTTCAGGATTCTAACACTGGAGCTTTAAATGAAGTTAAACTATTAGAAAATGAACTGTCCGAAATGAAAATAGCTGCACAAATGAATACATCGCGATTGTGTCGATGTATCGAAGAATTAGAAGAGGACTTTTGTTGTGTACAGAGTTATAAAGATGAATTAGAGCAGAAGTTAAAGGTACGAGTGAGTAATTTTAAAGTGTGTAGTGTGCGTATCGCGTAAATATATATATGTATACATTTAAAGCCTCATATGAAGTGAAGTCAGCTCTAAGCCGTTTCACTCTGTCCTTAAAGTAGGAGATGGAGTACAGAGGAGTAGTGTAGCATCACCTTACATTTGACAGGGACGAATCCCATGTCAAACATGCTGTGATTTCTGCTCGAGGTATCCAGAGGAGTGCGTTGTGTCAGTGTCTTTACTTCTAAGGTCCGTATCATGTGAATACACTTTTTTAACAGTAAACAAAAATATGCTCACCTTTCCATCTATGTAGATATAAAAAATAGGTAGAATCTAGATTTACGAGTTGATCACGGATTGATATGAGTTAGAGAACCATTGAAAACCAGCCACAGGGAGTACTGGACAGCTGTTTCACTCTAGTTTGGGAATCATCGGCAGTACGCACCCATTGCAGTTCGAGTCCAGGACCTTCAGGTTACAAGGCAAGCTCATATACAACTCAGCCACTGGGACGCGATTCAATGGCTCATGATTTCTAACTTCTATCAATTCGTAATCAACTCGTAAAAGCGAAACTAATCCTTACAAATCAACTATAGAGAATCTAGATTATTGGATCGACTCAAAGTTGAATTTGCATAGAAACGCATCTTTGAGCACACACCATTTACATTCTTGGGAACGTCATCACTTAATATTACTGTTTAACACTGTGTGATTTATCGAAATAAAACCTTATCCATAATGGAGTTATACTCTACCACAGTGCCCAAGTTTTATACTTTCTTGAATAATGCGTTCTTAGGATGTTAACTCAGTAGGGATCTTTTGCTTACTGTTTGAAGGATCTCTAAGTTGTTGGTTATTGTATAGTTACATTCGTCTTAGTGTAAGGGGAATTCCATTCCCCTGCCCATTGTATTTGATCCAAATTATGAAATATTTCGTTTTCACACTTTCAATTATACGTGATTCGAATTTCGAATAATGAGACAGTTTTTTCTAAACCTTATATTTCTATTCGATTAAGGAATGTCAATCAGAATTAGAAGACGCTCAAGCTCAGTGTGAAACCTTCCAAATTCAACCGAATCCTACGATGTCTCTATTTTCTGAAGTTAGTTTATAATGAATGCAATGTTTGGTTAAATGTATTTCTGAAAATATTACATTTATATATTTCTTGTATTCAACAGAGAGAAGCGTATTTAGACAGTTTGCACTACTTTTTTTCTTACTGTTATTACTAGTACTTTTGTTGTTATCATCAGCAGCACTTAGTTATAAATAATTCACTACTGGTCCCAGTATGTAGCGGTGTGTATCAGTTAAATTGTGTTCCATTAGTATTTGGAGTCAGTGCATCGTATTTAACTAAATGAAGAGTATTCGATTTCTTGGTTTTGTGACGATATGAGGACTTTGACTGATTCATCTGTGATTTTACAGTTCAGGAGATTGTTTCTACCTGGAGAAGATTAGTTGTTATCACTGAGAAACCACCATTGTTGATCTTCACCATGTGGTATACATTCAATAATACCCAAACTGTTTTCTGTACTCAAATACGTATCCTGTTTGTTTGCCTTCGTAAAATGTTACGATAACACTTAAGATATGTGCATATAAATGTTTCATTACAGAATGTGTCAGATATTAACTTGAGGTACTAAATATGAACAGCGAGTCAACTAGTAAGGTAGAATGTGATGATGCATAATTATTAATACTTAGAATAAAATGATTATTATTATTGGTTGGGATTTCGGCTATATGCCAGGACTACCAAGTACAAAACTCCACAATATCTTATCTGGCACAGTTGTTATGTTCTCCTTTCTTTGTAACTATTATATTGTTGCTCACATATTCTATTACACACTAATTTTATATTTCATATCCTGTGGTGCATTGTTTAAATATGTGAATGCAATGCTTTTCTTTTTTCATTTTATTCTACTTATCTTTTTTCTTTTTGTTGTTGTTGCTTTTTATTTATAAAATCTTATAAAAATTTATGAGGTAATTAGATGCAATATTGTAATGCACGCTGAAAATTCCATACCTGTACCACAAATACTGTTTGGAATGAAGCTATTATTATTATTAGTGCATTTACTGGCTATTTGTATTCTAGTATTCATGGATATATTACTGTATAGCCTGAAGTTGTTGAAAATAGTTGTTCACGCAAAAGTCATCTTGTTCTGATTATATTATAGGGATATTTAGAGCGATATTTTGTGTCGTTATTTAAAATGTGTGCTATTTTCTCGACACAAATTGTTGCGGATCGAAGGAAGTATGCCTGACTGAATCTCAGTATAACATTCAAATATAATAATATTTACAGAGAATCAACCTGTGTTTAAATAAATTTCAGGTTGATAAAGAACGCATACTTGTCGAACAAATGGTCGTTAAACAGAATGAGAAAATCAAAGAATTAAGACGACGCTTGAATAATATGCCTACAAAGCTTGCGTCTTTACTTGTAAGTTATAAATGAGCTTAAAATGTTCGCCCTCTGATATAATTAGCAATATTGTGTACCTTCCTGTCATCGGGCTATTTTGTTTCTCGATAACATCAAAGTAAGTGTTCCAAGGTGAAATCACTCGCAGTACACCGTCATACATAGGCATACTCGTTTGCTTATCGTGATAAGACTATTGTGGTTGTTGCAAATTTCCGGATCTATGCAGCAATAATAATACTGGACTTGTAGATTTGTTCTTACTATTTCTTCAATGCAACGATGATATATGACTGACCACTTGAACTATTACCACACCGAGAAGACTGAAAAGGTAATGGTTTATTTCTTTATTCAAAAAAAGCAATATCACTGGAAATTGCAGCTGTGTTGTTTATTTTACATAGCCAATAAACTATTAGTTTATTATATGGAAAACTATGTTTTGGCTGGCTAGTATGTGTCGATAAAAGTCCACTAACCTGGTCCTTTACACCTGTCTTTGAGGTTAAAAGTCTGATATGAAGGTCATGTAAATAATGAGAGATAGTAAACCTCTTTGTCTCCTACCAAGCACTAATGACATTCAACTATTAGGTTTTATAGACGTGGGGATGCAAAAATATGGATACAGTTGAGTGAAGTGTTGATTTCATTTATATTCGGTGTATCCGACCAACCTATTTTCATCACATTGGGAAAGCACTTAGATGGATGTCTTCTTTAATCTAGATATATTTGACATTGTTTTTAAGCAAGTAGTAACAATTTCAGTATATATTGAACAAACGGCTCTGATCCTACTGGAGTTCTAAATGCTAATTGCACTATATGTCTAGTTTTTGAATGAATGAATGAATGTCATCGTGGTTTTCCAAAGTGAATATTACAATGCTCATTTCTCACGCTTTTTTTCATGACTTGGACGTTTTCATTTTTCATATGGTGCCTACGTAAAAATAAGGCTGTAATACGGGTGGATTCGTGTCCATACACGGAGATAATGGATATTTTACGTGCTGAAATTGAAGATATACGTTGGGAAAATGAAAAACTTCATCGAAAAATGAAAGATTATGAAGAATTAAAGGTTTGTTCAGTTTAATTTCTATTTATTTATTAAGTATTCAGTTATTTATATAATCGATAGGAAATACAAAAAACGTACTGTGGAATTTTCAGACTAAAAATTCGTTTTAGTAGTAGTAGTACAGTTGGACTGTCTTTATTTGACTGTTATGAGAATTTTTTGGCTCAGACCAATTTACTATACTAGCTTAACTTCATTTTCAGATAGGTAGGTGACAACTGTTAGTTCCATAAAGCCATGTATAAGTTTCAGATGATTCTGTAAAAGCAATTTAAAAACACCTTTTTTTAAATAATGTTTCCGGTGAATTATTCTAATACACATACACAGCCTAGGTTATAAATATTCTGTTAACATATTGTTAGTTTTTCTCCTCAAGATTTACTTCAGCAGAGCCCCCCACCCCGCCGCGCCCCCTCTCTCGATTAGTATTCTTATTCTCTTTTTCCGTCAGTGCATGAACAGAAGTAAATTTTCAACGTGGAATTCTTCCTCCAGCTGCAGCAGTTCAACGTGCACACAATTCATCAAGCACTACTATCAGTGCATAGTGAAAATGAATATTTTTAGAATAGATTTTGTACAGGTTACCCATAGTTATTTATGTACTCAACTTACTCTGTTTTATTCTTTTTATGAGTGTTAATCGAATTCGTGACTGCACACAGTCTGTTGTCTTCGTCACCTCCAGATAGCATTTAATAAGTGTATCTTATGGGAATAAGTATTTTTCATGACCAAGTAACTTTTTAGTTATTGCAGTCACTTATAATGTGTTAAATATTTTTGTTCATTGTAGGCGAAGAGGAAATGCGAGAAATCGCTGGAATCTCCTGAATCGTCAAGGGATGCTGAAAAGACCGAGGCTGCTATTATGTAAGATAAAATTTAGATATTTTTACTTAATTCAAACTGTTGTTTTTAATTTATCCACTGTTTTTAATTCTTTAAATACTTATTGATAAAATAACTAAAAGGTTTTCTTCAAAAAGTTAAGTATCATGTGTCTATTGGACTGATAAATCACAAACTAAACTAATATGCAAAATAAGTAATTATAATAATGTAAGCTAATTGAGGCAGTATTTTGGTCAGTAGAAAACCAGGAAGTTTTTTCGAAATTCGAATACGCTTGTCTTCCTTCAGTGGTACTGAGTTGTATAAAAAAATAGTTAGCGTCTGAGTATGTCGATGAATAATGCTTATGATGATGCATAGTCAATTTAGGCGGCTAGGAGACGAGCGAATACATGAACTGGTGTCAACAATCGATAATTTGCATTCATGGATGATTGGTAATGTTTTGTCCACATATATGATGGCACTGTGACCTTGGTCAATTAATTAATCAGGCTCTTTCATTTATTAGAAATATCAGATCTGTGTATATAGTATACATGTGCTGCCGCCTCTACGTGGCAACTCACCACTTCGTAATTATTATTTATAGCCTAATACTATTTACAGGGATTAAAAATCAATCTTCTGAATTATCACTTTTATTTACAATCGGGTATACTAAGGTGTATTCATCACAAATTGAGTTCTCAATTAATGTATAGAAACAGTGAATTATCTAACTTAAATTGATTGGTTAAGTTAATATGAGTAATGCCTTCATTGACAAGTAAAGCATATTTAATGAAATCTATCAAAGAAATCAGGATAATCATCAAGAGTCATTTTAATAAATAAATAAATAAAAAAACTCGTTTTATCGATATAAGGGTAAAATTTGGGCACTGTGATTGAGTATAATTCCATTATGGATAAAATCTATTCACAGTGTTATACAGTAATATTATTTACTGATGACCACGTTTCGAGCACAATTTATTACTGCTCATAATCATATCCAGTTACTCACACTTGGTTTTAGGCATATAGGAATGTATAGGCTGTCTGGTTGGTGTCCTCGAGGTGATAAGAACAAATGGCTGGAAACTATTGATGATATGGCTTGAAATCTTTGTCAGTGGCGTAGAAGCATTCACACTTTGGGATGTACTACACCGTCATGTTCTCCTATGTCAATATTTTTCCTCTTGCATATTTCTGCTTATTATGATTCTTTTGAAATTATTTTTTCTCTTTGTTGTTTACCTTGATGTGCAACTTTAACTACTGTACTTGTGTGCAAAGTTCTATGCTATAACTCTGTTAGTCAGTATTGTACACAAAATTAATCCAATCTCATATCATTTTCTTCTCCATAGGGCAGTGGAATAGTTAGTCTAAATAATCTTTTTTTGTTATTTTTTTGCGTTTTCCTAATTGTAAACACCACCTTACTTTTGTTAATGACATGCTGTCAACCTCTCTGTCTATCTGCCACTTACATGGTTCCACAATTTCTTTTGTAGGCATTATTGTAGGAGTTTAGAACTTGATCAAGAAAAATCCCTCGAAGACACTGATCTCGTTCAGCAGAGGATAACAGAACTTGGTCATAAACAACTCAACCTGAGAAGAGAATTACGTTTTCTCAAGGACGAGAATTCTCGTTTGTCGACACAAGTCACTGAAGTTAAGGCGCAACTTGATGCTCTGCAGAAAAAGTGAGGCATCTGGTGATAGTGAAGCCTTCAAGAAGTGTTCTTCATTGCAAAAATGTACTTTTCAGAATATAAACCTTCATAGGGGAATATTTATTGGTACTTCTTTCTCTTAAAAACGAAGAAAATTATTTCCACCCCACAGACTATGTGATAATGTTTGTTACTGGCCCGATCACTAGTAATGCTTTTCTTTCCTTAGAAATTATTATTATTATTGTCATTGTTCGAATGGTAAACTTACTTGACAATAATTACAACAGTATTCTTCTGACTATTCTCTATGCTACTCCCATTATGTGTTTATTGTACATTTTGCGACACAATAGAAACTATATTTGTATTCTGTTAGAGTCATGATGTAGTGAATCGAGGGCGAATACTGCAGATGCAGCGCTGATGTCTTCGTTCAGCTCCCAGGTAAAACAACATGGTGAAATGAGGAACTGTGTTGCATAGCAATATATAAGTTGCTGGCAAATAGAAGTCAACCAGAGAGTTTATTGAAATTAGGTATTTCAGCAGTTGCAACTTATTCATGATTTGAAATTGATCCTTATTGACTCTGTTCACATTAAGGAGAACTAAAGACTCAATACACGGATTTATGTCCTACTGACTTACATAGAAGTAGTGATGTGCGCGTCAAGGTAAAAAAGGGATTGAGAGATTTTGAGTAATCGGTAATCTTTCATGGAGTCACGTACTAACGTGAAGTCGTTGGTTCAATCTATGGATTGATCAATGGTTCAGTTGACGAAACCAGCATCTGAAAATGTGAGTGATTGGCTTCATAAGAAGCTGAATCGATCCTCGTCTCTCGTTTCAACCTTATATATAGACGGATACAAAGATAGGCCACGTGATCTAAATTGAGGTTGAGAAAGATGAAGTACGACAGGTCAACACGTCTTTGTGCAGTCGTATTTTGCCATTCACTTGCAAAACATTTGATTGTCGACAGAGATTCTAATGTTGTAATTGTGGAATGTTTAGCTGTTATTTTTGATTTCAACTTAAAGGAGAAGCTCAAGGGACATGTAAATTTTTCAGATTGTTCGATTGGCGTATGTATGAATGCTTACTGTTTGTAACTGAGAGAAGACGTAAGCAGGAACCAACTGTTGACAGTGAATCAAATAATTTGTCAGAATAATTGGTGGTAGGAGCACACACACATAAGCGTAGGGCGTGATTGTTTAGCATTTGGTTTGCGTGTGGGATCAAATTGGAAAACTGTAGAACTGGGACGAAAAAGCTATCGACTATTGATTGATTTTGCAATGGTTGTTTTCGCTCAGTGGCGTCAGCTACTCAGAGATAAATGACCGCCTATATTTAATTACCTGATCGTAACATGAGATAAGTACTGGCCAACAGAGAATACAAAGTGTTGTAGACAGTGTGATGATACGAAAGTATGTGTATATATATACGTGACCGAAGTCTCAGTGATGAGAATCTACGAATTGCGTGAAATAAGGTTAAGTAATAGGAAGTATGGCTCATAAATTTTACTCATAACGTTAGTAATATTTCATTTCTTCATGTAGAAGAAAAATATACATGGTATTAGTAGTGTTAATAAACCACTGCTTATTTAAACATTGCAAGTTGAGTTTATAAGCACCTTTCTGACATTTGTGTTTTCACACAACAACTGTGCTAATTATAATAATTATTAGCCGTTTGAGCATAAATTCTTGTGAAATTTCTGCTTCTACCAAAGGACATGCGAAAAAAGAAAGAACAACGTTCAGCAGAATAAACAGGATATCGGGTATCCGACAGGATGTGACTTAAGCCATCTGCTTGCAAGAATTAAAATGTCTATCAATAACAATTAGTCAGTTTGTTGGGGCAAAGGTACACCACTAACCTTGGTGAGGGACTTCTAAATCCTACGCAATATAACATAGATAGTCCTTTCCGAGAAGCGCAGTGAAGAACAAGGCGGAGGGGGGATTATAAATAGGAGTGGGTAAAATGCACGATATATTCAAACGTGAGTGAAGAGGTTGAGTTATGTCAGAAAGTGTCACCTTCCTTATGCAATAAGTGGAATGAAAGATTTTCTTAGGCATCAACAAGATATGAGGCGGCTAACGAAAGTTGGAACAGAAAATGATAACAAGATAGGTATTATTCGATTTATTCGCCACAATAGTAACGCCGAAATTACAACAAACTTGGAAAAGAACCTAAAATTAACAGTCTCACAGTTAGAAGGGTTTGAATTAGGAGCGAATCAATCAGTAAGGCTAAATAAGCACATATTTCTATCTCAACAACCTGCTCACGGAAAAATCGTCAAATTATTCAACAACCCTAATGAAATTTGGGTTGAACACACAGAAAATATCGAGACAGAAGAGTAGCTTAATCAAACATCAGTGAAAGTAGGATCAGACAATACAGAAAGAGAAGTTGTCATGTAGCAAGAGGGAGGCTGCCAGTGAAATGAATGACAACGGGGAACAATTTGCACACTTATGCGTCTCTAGTGATTTCATAATTAAAGCCAGCATAGAGAATCAAATATTTTTACACAGATTATGATTGATATGTTTGAATTTAAGTGGAATGTGATGGAAGCATTGGCTTATCTCCGGGTGATATATATGACATTGTGTGGGGGAATTTGTGTTATGTAAAATGGTGGACGTAGTGAAATATGAAATGGCAGACTAGAATGAGACGTGGTGTAGATTATCTGTGTTCGATGATAAACGCAGTGGATGAATAATCAAATAAAGTTTTCTGATGCATACGTATCTTCTACACTGTTGCGCAAATCTGCTTGATAAAAATCTGTTGTCATATTGTCTTTGCACCATGCCTTTCCAGACTACCTGGATGTGACTAATCTGGTCAGAATTTCGGGTTCCGACGTCTGAGCCACCGTTTCGAGTCATGGCTTGAGCAACCAGGCTATATAACTATCCTTAACGCAATAGGTGTGAAGCATTGTCAACTGACTAGAAATGCAAGTGTTTGTTGAGTAGATGATGGAGGATCTCCAGTTTAAAAAGAGAGTCTACGAAATAAAAGATAATAATGTGCAGCTTCACTTGTAGTTCGTTATGATATAACCAATTTAACAAAGGGAACGAACTGTATAAGATAACGTCGAACTTTTCACATGAGCTGAAGTGTTGTCCATTACTGTTACCGTGCTCTTAAGCTGATGTAAATTCATAGTGGTAAGGAATTGTATGAAAAATCCGTTAAATTTCCGCCTTAATCTTGAACCACACATCTTTTACATCGCTTCATGTACATGCATCAAGTGAAGAATTGAGGGCAAACGTCACGGTTAATGTTACTGCTGTTCAACCTATATTTGCTTTTAACGACAATACTTTAGTTCAAAAGTTATTGCATTACAAATAGGTTTGACGAAAGTGAATACAAATGAAGTAAAAATAATGCAGAAGTTATTGCATTTCTGTAAACCAAATTTTATTAAACACTCTAAAAAAATTACATACAAAAATCCAATGCAGTGTATACATATATTTACATCATTTTTCTCTTTAGAACTAAGAAATGTACTTCATGTATGAAAAACAGCAGCTAACAAAAAATGATTCAATTGAACTGTTTTATGGTCTTATTTTAAGGTATAATTCCAGTGACGGGTCAGTTATATGCCATCTTGATGACTCCAAAAAATTGAAAACTTCGTCTAAATCATCTACATGTCGAGGACCATCACAAGCGGACGACAAGACTTCAGGCTCTAGTGGATGAAAACATAAATCAGATAAAATTTAAGAGAAAAAAATAAAAGCAGATGACAAAACAGCATAGACGAAAAGGTGGTTCATATAGGAATAAAACTTGTGCACTGTGGTAGAGTGTAATTCCATTATGGGTAAATTTTGTTTTGATAAAGTCTCACAGTGTTATACAGTAATGTTTACTGATGACCATGTTTCGAGCACAATTTATTACTGCTCATAATCATATCAAGCTAATCACACGACTTCCTAAATTCATTTATATAGTTCCATTGTTTTTCACTTGATTTGATTGGTAGTAATATTTTCCATATTTCGGGTATGAGTGATGAATCGTTCCTATTGCATGTGTTGGGTGCAGATTCGATGAACAAGGATTCAGTAATCAACTTCCCTCTCCACCTACCTAGATTACTTTTTATCCAAACAACTGAATTGACTGCTGTATAACAAATGGATTGAAATTTAGATAAAACATGCTTCGCTACTTATATCTATTTGAATCCACTTTATCAACCAAACAATATTCATTTACTATGAAATATAATTTCTTGCTATTTACTTGTCTTGTCTCATCTGTCTGTCTGTTTTCGACATAGAACTTTGCACATATGTGCGGCAGTTCAAGTCGCCACACTCCCTCCATGTAGCACACAAAGCAAGAGAAGGAAGTAGGAGAAATGCATAATAATGACAGTAAACAGAGGTGTGAGACAAAGGAGTAGTAATAACGCAGAACAAAACAGTTTCATTGGAAATCATAAGTCACAAGGAGTGGATGCATCTGCGCCACTGAGAACGATTTTGAGCTATGTCACCAATTGTTTCCAACCATTGGTTTTTACCGTCCCAAGGACCCCAACTAGTCAGGAAGTCTACACCTTCCTACGTGGCTTAGACTAACTGTTGTGGATTTCATTGACTGGTGCCATGTTTTCGTTTAACCGCCGCTAGCTCTTTTCCAGCCTGATCCTATGTTAGTCAGCTAATATTGCCCGTCCGTCGAGGAAGGCGATGACTAGGCATACGTAACACATGTCCTAACCATCTCAGTCGATGTAATTTCACAGCCTCATCGATTGATTTCCCCGCCTTACCTAGCACTCGACGCCTAACCTCAATATTGCTCACCTTATTATACTACTTCACACGGGAGACAGAATGCAGACACATATGATCAAAGACAACTAGCCAGCCTTTTCATGTCTTCTCCTCTCAATGGCCAGGTCTCACAGCTAGCCATAAAGGAGGAAGGAGCGGACTGCTGAGCAGTACACACGCCCTTTAGTCGATAGCTAGCCGGATATCACGTCTACACCAGAGACAGCGCAAGCTTGCCTATGCGGCACTAGCCTTCTGTATCCGTGCTGACATTTCGTCAGCGATCAACCCGTTGGGGCTGGCTGATGCAACTTCCCAAAAAGGTGGGATGGTTAACAAGTTCTGCTACTTCACTACCTATCTTCAAGCTAGGAGTCAATGCAGACCAGTAGTCCTCTAGCGTCATTTGTTACTTGAAGGGAGCGAATCGCATGCCAAACATTCACAGATTTCTGCTCCCAAAGGTTCTCAAAAGACTCTGCATTTTGTCAGCGTTTTCTCCGAGAAGTACCACTGACTCTAATGTCAGAAAGAACAAACAAACTGTAGATTCACCATACATCGAAATATGTGTAATTTATATAAAACTTATCCATGCCTGTAAAATTGGTATGTTCCTGCATGAATAGGAATAAATATATATCATTATTATTATTATTATTACATCTTCGGCATACTCTAGGTCAACGAGACCATTCCCAACCCGGTAACAAGTCAGTCCTGGCCTGAGTCGCTGAAGTCATTCGGGGTTAAGTCCGTCAGTATATCTATGATGAAATTAAACAGAAGTGGGGAAAGTGGCCATCTCTGACGGGCACCACTGGTTGCCACCACTTCAGGTGGCAACTCTCCGCAGGCTTTCACCTGGCTGACTAAATGAGTTCGTGTAGAGTGCCTTGATCATTGAGATTTATTTTCTCGGCATTCCCTTGAAAATCAAACACCACCTTAATACATTTCGGTCGACAGAATCGAATGACGTTTTCAGGTCAAGAAATATGACGATTGTTGGACGCCGATAAGTATGCTTATGTTCCAGAATCTGGCGAAGAGTGAAGATGTGATCAATACACCCTCTTCCTGGTCTAAAGCCTTTCCGGTTCTTTCGTGTCAGTTCTTCCAGAGCACTGCTTAGTCTACGCATTATTATTGAGCCTAAAACTCCATATTAGTCAAGTTAATCTCCCTGTGATTATCATAGGAACAATTGTCTTCCTTCTTGTATGTCGGGATAATCAATGAATTACACTATCCCGACGGGACTATCTCTGATTCCCAGACTCTGTCTATTACCTTATTAACTCAGACAGTTAACTGTTTCCACCGTCCTTAAACACCACCTCTGCAGTCATTCCATCAGGTCCCACTTCTTTGCCTCGTTTCAGACTACATACAGCTTTTGTAACCTTACTTAAGAACGGAGGACCTGTGTTTATATATTCCATTCATCATCATCATCATCATCAGTCCCTTGACTTTCGTCGTGGGGGTGCTATGACAGTTCGCGCTATCAGTCTTCGCCATTCTTCTCGGTTTAATGCTATTTTCTGTAGCGTATCCAAGGGCATTTCAGTCCACTCTTTTATGTTGTCAAGCCAGCTCTTATTCGGTCGACCTCTCTTTCGTGCTCCTCCTACTGTGCCTTGTAGAATCGTTTTGGACAATGTGTCATGTCTTACCGTGTGGCCGAACCATTGTAGTTTCCGTTTCTTTACGATTGAAAGGAGTGGTTCCTGTTTTCCTGCCAGTCTATGGACCTGGTGTAAGACATATTCATTAGTTTTCCTTTCAAGGTAACTTATTCCTAGGATCCTTCTATAGCTTTTGTTTTCGAAGGCTTGTATTCTTCTTTCTGTCTCTGCATTCAGGGTCCAGCTCTCACATCCATATAGGAATACAGAGAGGACCAGTGACGAGTAGAGTTTCATTTTTGCTGAGACGCTGATGTTGCTCTTCCATATTTTCCCTAACTTGGACATGGTGGCAGAGGCTAGGTTTAGTCGAATTTTTATTTCCTTAGTGGACCTTCCATCTTTTGTTAGGGTAGACCCAAGGTATTTGAAAGTTTCAACCTCTTCTAATACATGTCCATCAAGTCTGATACATCTATCTGAGTTGTTTCCTCCGTTAATGAGTATTTTGCTTTTTTCTGTGCTGATTTCCATGCCCACAGATTTGGTTGCAACATCAAGTCTTGAGGTGAGGTCCTGAACTTGATCAATGTTTTCCCCAATGAGGGCTATATCATCAGCAAATCTGAGGTTGGAAATTGGTCTTCCGTTTATGCTAAGTGTCGGTGTAAAGTCATGTAGGGTTTGTGTCATAATATGTCCAAGGAATAAATTAAAGAGGACTGGTGAGAGAATGCACCCTTGGCGTACTCCTATAGTTGTTCTGAAGAACTCGCCAGTTTGATTATTTAGAGATACCGCACTACTAGATTTGTTATATAAAGACTTAATAACCTCAATTATGTTTTTATCTATATTGTAGTTATTCATGACTTGCCATAAGCCTTCGTGCCACACACGGTCAAAGGCCTTCTTAAAATCGATAAAGTTGTGTACTAGCATTTTTTGGTGTTGTAGACATTTTTCGTTTAGTACCCTTATGTTAAAAATTTGTTCAGCAGTGCTTCTGCCCGGCCTGAATCCGGCCTGTTCTTCTGAGGGTAATTCCTCTACTTTCTTTTTGAGTCTGTTCAATATTACTTTCAGCATGACTTTACTTGGATGGCTGATTAAACTTATTGTTCTGTAGTTCTCGCACTGTTTTGCGTCCCCTTTCTTAAATATTGGAATGATTAGTGACTGAGTCCATTCTTTAGGCCATTCTTTTTCTTGCCAGATTTTTTGACAGGCTGCTTTCAGCCATTTAACTGTTTGTGGTCCACCATGTTTAATTAATTCTGCCGGTATGTTGTCAATTCCTGGTGATTTATCTCCCTTAAGTGATTTTATTGCTTCCTCTACTTCTGACTCTAGTATGGGTGAATCACCGATCTCCCTATTGTCCCAGCATGAATTGTTTATTAGGCTATAATTAGGGCTTATTTTATGATTGTAGAGTCCCTTACAGTATTCTGTCCACCTTCTAAGGATATCTGCTTCTTCTGTTAAGAGGGTGCCCTTACCATCCTCAATTACGGTTGCTCTATTCAGTTTCGTATTGGTCAGCTTATTCAGTGTTTCGAATGCTTTTTTATTGTTGCCTCCCCTTAAGCTATTATCGATGATATTACATTGTTCAGTAATCCAGCCCTCCTTTGCTCTCTTCATTTAGGAGCGTATTTCTTTGTCTACTGTTCTATACTCTTCTCTGTACTGGGAATGAATTCCATTCATGGAAGTGTTGAATGCTGGGTAAGCTGAGCGTGGGTGTAGGCCAACTAAATTACTCCTCAAAGTGTCCTTTCCAACACCGCTCGACCAAGGTAGTAAAACGCTGTCTACAGGCTAATGCTGACCGTCTGTTATCACGGTACTGATGGAGAGCGACTATTTGATCTATGCACTTGCAGTTAGGTTTGCGAATATTTGTTGCTATCTGTTAGAGATTAGACGTAAGATGAGTATGGAAACTGATATTGTAGAGACTATGGTAACTAGACTAATCGCCCCGAGGACATAATATGGAAACTTCCGACGGTGATATGAAAGAGATTGTGTAAAGAGGAAATGAAAGGTTATAGACAATCGTGAAGCCGACTAATAAGTTATGCAGAGAACAGTAAGAAATGCACAGAAGTGCTGTAGAAGCCCGATATTTTACTCGGAACCCACGGGAATAATGATTAAATAATAAATTATGCTTGCACTTTTTTGTGCTCAAGAGCTTCAGGGAATGGATTTCGGTACATCCATTAGTCCTTTCAAACCATTTTTTAAGGAACAGAACAGCTAATACTGT